TGGCTGCCAGTCGGCCATTTTGAATCTTATCTAAAAAACAAAATTATTTGCATCAAGGTCCCATAATGTCTAATGTATATACCAAGTTTGAACAAAATCCATCTGTAAACAGCCGAGAAATGCTTGATTTTGATAATTTTTTAGCACAAAAATGACTGCCATTCGGCCATCTTGAATCAGATCGTGAAACAAATTGACATGCATATGTATACTATCATGTATGATGTATGTGTGAAGTTTGATTGTGATTGGTCCAGGCATTTCTAAGATACAGGTCCGGACGCAGGCACAGACGCACGCAAGCACGCGAGGTCAAAACAAAACTGCGTCCGAACAGGGACTAATAATAATGTTTATTCAACCTTTGTATCGACAGCATGAAAACAGTAATAGGTACATGTCTTTAAATTACATTCATCATTTCTTTTCTATATTGCCATAAATAAGCTGATGAGGTATTTCCCACATGTTCCATAGTGTATCACCAAAAAGGAAATTGAACCTATAATTCATACAGATTACTAATGCTATGGTGATGTTGACATGTAAAGTACACTGTATGAAAGAATTATCAGGAGTATGTAAATGGAAAGAATACCTTGTTGTGTGTCATTTCCTCTGATGCCAAGTTAACCAAATCTACAGCTAATGGAGCTTCTATTTCATCAATTGTTTCTTTAACAATTCTCTCCATGGCATTAAGAATAACAACTCGGTGACCAATGGGCAGCTGTAATATAAACAGGTGACAGTTTAATTCATCATTTGGAACCATCACAAATGTCATAGGATCCTGTATTCAATGATCTCTTGCATGATTATTATAAAACGTTTTTTTTTTTTGGTCAATGACATATTTTGTATTTGGCTGAATTAACATTTGAAGAGACAAAATTTTGTCTCGTCTTTATATAACAACTTTGAACAAAATCTGTCAAGGTTTGTCTGAGAAATGATTAAAAAAAGACATACTGTAAAATGGTTAATTATTCACTGGGTTTTATTTTTGCTCATTCCGCTGACTGGGAAATGCGCAAAATTAAAACCCAGTGAATATGTGAAATTAAGCATAGAACACATTAAATGGCAAAGCCGTAAATTTAAAACCAACTGAATATACCTGAAATGCTATATCAGTGAAATTTAAACCCAGTGAAAATTAACCATTTTACAGTATATGGTTGCAAGTTGGGGAATTCCATCAAAAACTTGAACATCAAATTGCGAAGAAAAACAACGTATAACAGTAACCCACCATCATTAATGTCAATGTCAAGTTGAAATATAATCTGCCCAGGCATACCTGGGAAAAATATTATGTTCAAATGTTGATTTTGATCAAAGATCATTAAAACAAAGGACAAATTCAGATGCATGCATACACTTCAATGACCAATAATGGGAGATATAATTACCTTGCTATGTTTCTTGAGATAATACTGTGCTGAACTTAATACCATTTTGGGTTGTTTTTTACCAATATCGAATAATGAATTCCCAACGATGGTTTGCACTTGGGTACTTTTGTCATATGCAGCCTCAATCAGTGCCAAAGCCAAGGCTAAAATAAATCAAAGAAAGCTTAGAAAGAACTCCCGTGTGCTGAGAGTATTGGAGACACATTCAAAATTAATTCAAAATTACTTGAACTTGAGATGTTGATGGAAACGCAGAAAACTAATTATGCATTTTAGGTAACTAATATGAACAGATTTAAGTGTAAAACTAATAAGGTCTGCACAATGTAACAAGTTTCATTGAAATGTGATTAGAACCAAAATAATATTAATTATTATGCTAATTAGAGAATTAATATGAACAGATTTTAACCCAAAATTAAGCAGGCTGTCTATTGTCCTAGAGCATTTATCGACCAAGTTTTATTCAAATGTGATGATCAATACTTGAGATATCAGTATTAATTAATTATATTAATTAGGTGATTAAGAAGCATAAATATTTATCAAAAACTAATATGGTGTATAGTCCTAGGTTCATTGAAATGTGATGGTACTCTTTAAAAGTTTCATTGAAATCCAATGAGTGGCTTTCAGACATCAGTGCAACAGCCATAGAACAGCAAAAAATTAACTAATTATGCAAATTAGGT